GTTAAATGTTTAACCCAACCTTCTGGGTAGTAACCCAACCTCTGGGTTGTTACTTTTTTACTTTTATTTTTGTGATATGTACCTAAGGGTCTGGAATAAAGAAAGAAAGAAAATTTAATATCAGTGTATCCCTAATCAACAGGTCCCAAATTAACTTTTTTTGTTTTCATTCAAAGGCTGACTGAGGTGACTGGAGGTCACACTACAGAGCCTGAGCTCTTTTTCTCAGGAGGAAAAGACCCATCAGCTTACAAAGAATGGCTCGAGTCCCTACCACAAAACCCAGACGTGATTTCTTACTCTCTGGAGTCCCTGCATGAGCTGATCCCCACCAAAGATCCAGTACGCAAACACTTGCGCCAAGCCATCCATGACTACATCCTGGAAAAGTCCCTTTGGAGGAACTGCACCGACTCTTGCAAAGATGGCGTCAAAACCAACCCAAATAACCCATGTGTCTGCACTTGTCGCAACAATCCTGGGATCACACCCGATTGCTGCCCATCTAAGCGTGGACTTTCTCGGGTAAAGGTCACAATCGTGAGGGCTCAAGACCTGTGGGGTGACCAGACCACAGCGACCGATGGGTACGTTAAAGTGTTCGACAAACATAACATTCAGATTGGACGAACTGATATGATCACGAATAACAACTCACCCTACTGGGAGAGAACCTTTGATCTGGGTGATGTTGTCGTGGCGGAGAATGACAAGATAAAACTGGAGGTGTGGGATGAAGATAGTAAATGGGACGACGATTTGCTGGGAACCTGTGAAGTAGCCATAAAAGCAGGTCAGAATGACAATTTCTGCACTTTAAATCACGGTCTGCTGTTCTACAAAACAGAAGTGACATGCGCCCCAAGTTTGTCTGGCCCCTATTGCTCAACCTATGTTGGTTCTCCTATGAACTTTCAACTGGAGAAGGCATATGTATCTCGAAATGCACGACCTGTGCCAGCAGAAATACTGATGAGCAGGGGAGTACTTCTGGACAGACTGTATGTATATCAAAAGACAAATTACAGTACTAAAAGTATTCTATAGCAAGTTTTGGCTTTGGATCTGATTATGCGGCTATTCGAAATATAACTTTATTCTCACTTGTATTTATCACTATTAGAGAAACATATTTAATATAATTCTTAAATATTTCTCAACTTTGGGGACAATGCGCAATACATATTTATTATGCTGTCTTTATTGCAGGATTTTTATGCTTACACTGGAAATATTTCTAAAACACATCATATACATTGTAACTACTGTGTTATGCTCTTTCATTCTACACAGTTTTATTAAAAATTATTTTTGTTTATTGTAAGTAGCATCATTTCATAATCTTCACAAGTAATGTCACTATGACAATACTTCATTTTATTGTGTGTAAAAATGATCTATAACTAAAAACCTAATGCTTTGTGTTATTAAAAGGTCAAAAGGCCACAAATTGTCTGCTTGGGGTTATATTTTTCTTTTTCTGACCCATCTTCATAGTTAAAAAATGACAATGATAATTCAGTCACAATTTACTCACATTCATGTTGTTACAAACCTGTATGACTTACTTTTTTCTGCGGAACACAAAATAAGATATTTTGAATAATGTTTAAACTGTTTTTGTCCATAAAATGTAAGTAAATGTGGTCCAAAACAACATTGGACACCACTGACTTTTATTGTTTAGTCCTAAAAACAAAACAAAAAAAAACACAGAGACATTTTGAGAAAGAAAGTAATTTTCAGGTTTGGAATTACACGAGAGTGAGTAAATGATGACAGAATCTAATTTTTGGGTTAACTATCCCTTTAACAATGGCTCTGATTCGTTTCCTCTTAAATGGTGTTTCATCAGTCTAACACCGGATGCTTGTTGTGTGGTTTTCCTGTAGACAGATGAGAATTCAGAGCTGTATGTACACCCAATATGACGGCTCACAAGATTATGACTGTTATATTATACTCTGTCATTTTGTTAGCGTTCGCTTTAAGACATTATGCAATGTTCAATTTGATAAGACATGACCTCACAATAGAGATCAAAACCATCTGTTAAGCTTGTTCTGATGCTAATAGCGTAGGATCAAACCCCATAATTACCATAACCGGGTCCTTAAGCAGGATAGATATATAGTTGTCAAAGAAACACTAAGGAGTCAGATTAGGAGGTGGAATATTTAGTGTTTCATAAGAATTAAAATAACAGCCAATGAAGTGTTTAGCATGTTTTAGTTAGATACAGAGACACACAAGGGACATTAAACACTCCACCGGACAAAACAAATGAACAGACTGGGGAAACATCAAGGAACATAACAATGAACATTAAAACCACACGTACACACAAAACACACATGCCCACACAAATGGGCACAAACCTAAAACTAAAACAATATGGCAAACAAAAACATGTCACAAAACTGCACAACGGTGAGGAATACTAGGCAAAAAGGGGCCAAAAAAACACTGACAAAGTTAACAGCATGGTCTTGGAAATCAACCTAGACAGAAAGAGAAGATGAAAAGAGATGGATGAGAAAGGTAGAAGACACAATATGCTGAGTTAAGAATACAGATCTTCTAATATATCATCTACCTTTGTACCCATTCCCATAAGTGCCACTAAGCTTGCTTCCATCATTTTGTCCTGTGAAAAAACAAAAATGAACATAGTGAAACTAACCACACATTAGACCTTAAAAGAGAGAGGTCATTAGGTTAGAATCTTGCTAGTTTGTCTAACTCATGTGACTGATTTACTCACCACCATAGGGCCCCTGACCACCAGTACTTAGTGCAGCTGCATAGCCTGTGCCTAGAAATGATCAGTCACCACACTGGCTATTAGTCAACAGCATTTATGTATTTAGTCGATGTCTGCTAGATATTAACATGATGAATATGAGAACACAGACCAGTGGTCATTTGGCATGTATGATATATCAGTACCATTTATCAGTCAATATTAAATATGATTTAGTTATTTAATCAGTCGATATTAGATATTTAATGCATACACTACTGTTCAAATGTTTGGGGTCATGTTTTTGAAAGAAGTCTCTTATGCTCAACCAGACTGTATTTACTTGATTGAAAAATACAGTAAAAAAAAAACATATTGTGAAATAATATTACAATTTAAAACAACTGTTTTCTATTTTAAAATGTAATTTATTCCTGTGATGGCAAAGCTGAATTTTCAGCATCATAACTCCAGTCTTCAGTGTCAAATGATCCTTCAGAAATCATTCGAATATGCTGATTTGATGTTCAAGAAACATTTATTACTATTATCAATGTTTAAAAGTTTTGCTTCTTAATATTTTTTTTGTGGAAACTGTTGTACATTTTTTTCAGGACTCTTTGATGAAGAGGAAGTTTAAAAGACCGGCATTTATTTGAAAGAAAAATAGAATAGAAATCTTTTATGACATTATAAATGTCTTTACTGTCCTTTTTGATCAATTTAATGTATTCTTGCTGAATTAAAGTATTACTATCTTTAAAAAAAAAAACGTATCTTATTGACCCCAAACTTTTTATGGTAGTGTATTTAATAGATATATATATTAGATGTACACGAATTAAACAAAACTGCTCATATTCTCACCATATTTGCCAGCTGTCTTTGTAGCATCAGCACCCCGACTGAGTTGCTCAGCACCAAAAGGATAACCAGCATCAACTGCAGGTAAACACATTTGCACCTGTGTCACAATCAGAGTCCATGATGTTCTCTATTTCTCTTGTTCTTACCAACTTACCATCAAGCCCAGTTGCAATGACTGGTGCGCTGTAAGGAATCTGGCCTATAGCTCCACCTGTGGCAGTAACATTTTGTTATCAGAAAAAAATGACTTGAAATATATTTACTAAAACTCCACAATATTACCTGCTAAAGGCTCCATTGCTCCACCTGTACCACCTGATAGGATACATATCATCTTTACTTTCTTTCTTATAATAGTTATCTGATCTTTATACTCATGTTTGGTTTATTATTATGCTTTATTCTCTTCTTTAAATCTTCTTTCTTTTTCTCACAAGGGACATTCACGCTAAAGTCAAATTCTCAGGCAAAGCATCAGGATAGCCAGAAAACTGAGATTTGCATGTTGCATTTGAATAACAAATAAGTGCAATGCACATACCCAGAGCAGTGTCTGGCCCAAGGTTTGGTATTCCTCCATATGTAGCTCCACCATAACTACCAGTCTTGCCGTGAGGACCAAGTCCAGCTGAGACCACAGGCTGGCCACCGTAAGGCAAGGATCCGGCAGCTCCAAGAACTCCACCTGCCCCTTTAGACAAATTAAACCAGAGGTAATACAGGATCAAGCAACCACAGACACGAAGACATAACTAGACAAAGAAGAAGAGATATTAGCAGGACTCAACAACGATCAAATGAGCTGGAAAATATTTGGCAGGTGAAGTAGGAAAATGCTGTAATCTGTCAGTTTAAAGAAATTAACATTAAATTGATCAAAAGTGACAGTAAATACATTTGCATTGATATGAAGCATTTCTATGTGAAATAAATGTGGTTTGTTTGAACTTTCTATTCATCAAAATTATCACGGTTTCAACAAGATTATTAAGCAGCACAACCGTTTTCAACATTGATAATAATTGATAATAAAGAAATGTTTCTTGAGCACCAAATCAGCATATTAGAATGATTTCTAAAGGATCATGTGACACTGAAAAAAATTCAGCTTTGTCCTCACAGGAATAAGATACATTTTTATATACCTTAAAATAGGAACAGTGATTTAATTGTAATCATTTTTCACAACGATGTAATTTTTTCTGTATTCTTGATCAAATAAATGCAGCCTTTATGAGCATAAGTGGCTTTCAAAAAAGTAAAAAAATCTTACCGACACCAAACTTCTGAATGGTAGTGTATTTAGTGTGTTCAATTGAATTTCTTTTCATTTAATTGTCATCTTCAGATGTATTTTTCTTACCATACTTTCTAGACTTGGCATGAATACCCAGGCCAGGGTTCACTACCAGCCCTGGACCTCCAAGGCCTCCAGCTCCAAGACCTGAAAGAGCAAACATTGACCTCTGTGATTTCATGCAGGTAATGCTGCTTCAAGTTAATGTATGCAAAACACTTGGTTTACCATTTCTATTAGTGGTATTCTAGGAGGAATTTACAGTCTTGCTTTCCCTTAGTACTAGTATAAAAGCAACTGCACAGGCAACAGCTGGTTTCTCAGTGTTCAAGCTATTGCAGTTCAGATACTTCAGTTACCCAGATTAGGCTGGATGAGGTTATTTTCTACAATCTTGAGTAAAATATTATTGTGTATAATCACAGGACAGAGTGAATTAAACAGTGGAGGAAGTGCTGACATTATTGCAGGGGTTTAGAATCTCTTGTTAGTGTGAATGCAATGTTGTTGGTTACACTCATAACCTTCAGCCTTACCAGCTATACCGTTCAGGCCAACATTATCAGCTAACACTGATGGGTAGGCAGGTCCTGTAACATAATTATAATTGTCACTCAATTATAATTATGCTTATATGTTAGTGTGATATCGCTCAATCGTACCTATCCAGTCCAGACTCACCTGCCCCATAACCATCTGCTGTGCCATAAACCTCACTGCCGTATCCATTACTGTAGCCTGCTGAGAAGACAATAATCAACTCAACACTTCACAATGATGATGTGTAAAAGTAACACAGGAAGCACCTCTGTGTATTCACAGTCAAAGCCAACCACTTTGCAACCAAGAAGATTCGGAAAACAATGAGCATAACATAGAGTGTGAAATTTTGGTTGTTTCTTGCACAAACAGGCATGCACATGTTTGTGCAAGCACCCAAACGCAGAGGTCTTAGAGGAGCACTTTGCCTCTAGAGCAGCTCTTGGCTTTGTGCTGAACCAGCTGATCTGACCACACTTGTGCTTAATGCATCATGCTGCAAAAATATTATGATGTTATAAAAGGTTTCACTCAGTTACTAACAGAGACAAGAACAGAAAAATCATTAGAAGAAACACAGGGCATTATTTTAATCATCTATATAGGTGAGAAAAGACTTAAAGTAGTTGTCACAGTTTTTACTAAAGTAAATATGTTTCAGGGCAGGTCTATTTCTGCATATGTGACAACTTGTCCCAATACAAATGTGATGTGTTGTTTACTCAACAGCTATAGAATTAAATGGACAGAATTCACAAACATAACCATACACTACCTTTAAAAGTCTGGGGTCTTCAAGATTTTTTTGTGTTTTTGAAAGAAGCCTCTTATGCTCACCAAGGCTGCCTTTATTTTATCAATAATACAACAATACAACATATTTAAGGACCCAGTTATGGTAATTATGGTGGTTGATCCTACGCTATTAGCATCAGAACAAGCTAACAGTAATATTGTGAAATATTTAAAAATAACTGCTTTCTAGTTTAATATATATTAAAATGTAATTTATTCCTGTGATAGTAAAACTGAATGATCATTACTCCAGTCTTTAGTATCACATGATCCTTCAGAAATCATTCTAATATGCTGATTTGCTGCTCAAGAAACATTTCTTATTATTATCAATGTTGAAAACAGTTGTGATGCTTAATATGTTTGCAGATTTTTCCAGGATTCTTTGATGAATAGAAAGTTAATAAGAACAGTATTCGTTTGAAATAGATTTTTTTTTGTAACATTATAAATGTCTTTACTGTCAATTTTGATCATTTGTGTGTCCTTACTGAATAAAATTATTCTTTTTTTTAACTAAATAAAAAAATCTTACTGACCCCCATCTTTTGAACAGTAGTGTACAAACCACTGTAGAAAACACACTTTTATATAATTAGACTTAAAACCTCACAGTTGCTAATATGTAGCCCTTGTGACAACTAGCCCCGGTCTCCTCTATATAATGAATAAACTACACATTAGTTACCAATCTGCTTTCCTGCTCGAACTCCCTGTGGATAGTATCCACCTGCCCCAAGACCTGTATCAGCAATAAAATAAATAAGGTGGCTTTAGCAAAATATGAATATTCTACAGCTTGTATTAATGACACTTGTACCTCTGAGCGAAAAACAAAATTTCACAATTTCTAGATACCTGTTCCATATCCGTTAGCAAAACCAGCTCCAAGATAGCCAGCAGCACCAAGGCCGTATCCTGTGAACAAAACATGCAAACTGTGAAACTTTGGCCACTAGTAATAAAAAGTCATGGCCATCACAGAATGATGCGATCGTTCAGGGGCCTGTGGGTCAGAGTACATGCAAGACGAATTCACAGTGCGACTGGTCCATATGGCCTGTGGGAGAAAAATAATGCAGCATGCATTGGGTACACATCAGCACAAAGGCAGATATAAAGATAAAGGCTCAGGTGAAGCATATAAAAACAAAAGAGAACAGCCCCGAGAAATAAATGAGGCATTAGTCCAGCACACACACAAACCTTTCTGAACAGCTGTGGTACATAAAAGCACTTATTCATAGACCTGCAGCTGCAATGAGTCCATGATGAGGGGTGGATTTTCCAGTCCACAATCACTAACATTCTAATGTGTCACAGGCCATATATTCATTTCATTTGATGACCGCTGTAGTACAGTACTGATTTTAGACTGGAGAAAACACCATCTTGTGACATGCATTCAGCCATAAACCGGTGACATTTTAATACAGAAGACGTTTACCCTTATTGGATGGTTTGGTGCCCTGTCCATTGGGCAAAACTGGTCCTGTATTGTATCACAACAGTGGTTTATCTCAACACTGAGAATCCAACATAGTTCCCATCCCATCACCTAGCCATGCTTATGCTTTAAAAACAGTCTTTTATCATGCATTGCCTTTAACTCTCCCTTTACTTCCAGTAAACATGGTAAATGTATTATTTACTGAAACTTTTTACTGATTACTTACATATAGGCACAGATAATTTGTATGCTACTATATGGTGATAAAAACTTGCATTGATTGACAGATGCAGTAAAGGCTTTACCATTGTTCATAATTCCTCGTCCATTAATCATATCCGCTGCTGGACCATAGCCTACAGATCACAACAGTAGTTACCTACACAAAGTTTAGGATCTTGTACCAATAATTTGATCCACAGACATCTGTACTACAGTTCAAAAGTCTGGGGTCAATACAGATATTTATAATGTTACAATTTCAAATAATCCCTGTTCTTTAAAACTTTCTATTCATCAAAAAAATCCTGATAAGATTACGTATCATGGTTTATACAAAAATATTAAGTGGCACAACTGTTTTTTAAACATTGATAATAATAGAACATTTTTCTTGAGCAGCAAATCAGCATATTAGAATGATTTCTGAAGGATCACATGATACTGAAGACTGGAGTAATGGCTAAAAATTCAGCTTTGACATAATAGAAATAAATTGCATTATAAAATATATATTAAAATAGAAAACAGTTGTTTTAAATTGTAATAATATTCCACAATATTTCTGTTTTTATTGTATTTTTGATCAAATCAATAAAGCCTTGGTTAGCATAAGAGAGAGACTTAAACATCTTAACAACCCCAAAATTTTGAGCACAAAGACAAGAATTTGAAATAGAATTGAATTTTAAATGTTCTACAATCTTATGTGTTCTGATTGGCATTAATTCAGGCAAATAACGTAATAATGGAGTGTGTTTACCCTTAATTTGAGCTCTCATTCCATTGGTCAATCCTGGTCCTGAGGGGAAACCTATTGACCGCAGCTAAAATGTACTATACAAGTCCCACAGACATTCATGACCACATTACTTAAAACCCAAAATTTAGCCTGGCCTGTGACATTAGAGAACATACACGGCACGCTTAATCATATACTACAACTATCATGTCAGTCATATTATACAGCAATTAATCTTGCAAATACGAAGTCCCACATACATCTGGGATGAGTTTTACCATTGGCTATAGCACCCTGTCCATTAGGGACCCCTCCACGACCGTAACCTAAACACCATAACACCAGTTAACATTCACCAACAACATACTATCAACATAGCAGCTGCCAGTGATGCAAGAGCATAAGAGATGCTACTCTGCTGGAGAGAAATGCAAAGTAAAAAAAAATTAATAAATCAAAAAATCAAAGATAGGCATGTATAGTGAGATAACAGGGAGCAATATGCCACCCATCATGCAGTGTAAAATTGCTTAAATATTGTAACTAAAAATCCAGAAGAGCAGACTGAAAAAGCTTTAAAAGGCATGAAAGCCACACATGGAGGTATTGAGGTTTACCATCGCCCCTCTCTCCCTGTGACACGGGCTGGCCACCTCTAGGCCCAACACCTGTGAATACAGATATATCAGCTGGATCAGCAAAGATTTCAATGTTGAGAATGATAAAAAGCAACAAAATTGTAAATTACACTTATTAGGGTGTTAAATTGATCACAATCGAGTACTGAATCAGCATGCATCCTAACTTTTCAAACTCCTGTGCTAAGTGATTCCTGATGTGAGAGATAAAGATCACAACAAATAACTAATGCACAACAGGATCTCTCTATTGTGTCACAGCAAATCGGCAGAATAACACAACAGAAGCTCTTAGAAGCAGGTACAAAACATCAGAAGATGCAGGTACACGACAACCACATGACCAAAAAAGTGGTACTGAATGGAACTGCACAATCCTGCTTACTATACTATCAGAAAAATGCTACAAAGCTGTCACTGGGATGGAAACCTTTCAAAAGGTACTAATATGGTCCTAATCTAAAAACAGCCAGTACTTATGGACCTATACTGTTTTTGTTGATGAGCAACTAAGAACTATATATATATATATATATATATATAGAGAGAGAGAGAGAGAGAGGGTGTTGGAAGGTTTTGATTTAGGCCTGCAATACCTGCCAATTCAAACATCTACTGCATGTTCCTCAACATTTCCTCGAATGTTTTTCAATGGGCAAAATTAATTGCACTCTGCTGGCTTGACAACTGAACTGAACCTCAAACCTGAAACTGATAATACAGATGATCCACTGGTTTGAGACCTTTTTGTGCCCTTACACTTCCTAAACTTTCAGAAATGAGGCCCAAACTGATTCAAACATCAACAACAATGCAACAAGCTAGGAGAACCTATATGCAAAAAGGGCTGATAGAACAGAACATGATTGCATTAATAATAACACACAGATAAATACATTAATACAGTACAGCTACACAACAACAAATGCACTGCAAATAAATGAATATCTTCCTTTGCATTTTTGTAGTTTTTCAGTACAAATATCAAACCATTCTTAAAACAATAAACATTTGGTTGGAGGTTTGGAGCATGTTATAGGACAGTGTACACGGGAATGATCTATTCAGATGATTCTGTATTTTATATGTTGTGTTTAACTTGCAAAAACCCAATAAACATGTTTAAAAAAAAAACTATATACATTAACTTGAGAAGGAAAATGACTCAAGATATTAATTATTGTTTTCTGACAAATTGATCAAAATGAAGTGATTTTATGCTTGAAACAAGAAAAAATATCTGCCAACGGGGTAAGAAAAAAGTGTTTATTTGTCTTACCCTATTTGCAGATCTCATTTTATTTCTGCCGTTTCAGTTAAAAATGGAAAGAAAAAAAAAAAACATGTAGCCTATATCTGTGAATTTTGATGATCTGTGAACAGGAATCATCCCTAAAGGAAATGCACGAATGAGTCAGATATTGGAGGGTTTACCCAGTTTTGATGGTTTTGAGCCTTGCCCTGTGGGTACACCATATCCTGAAGATTACAAAATCATTGTTAATGTCCGTTTCATAGCTTTGATTCAACAAATCTAGATGAGCCTTTTGTTCTTTGACATGTTCTGTAAGAGCATGCACATTACAACACTGATTAACAGAAGACAGCGAACAATTTAACCTTTTCTCTAACTTTGACCAGCAGACACAACTGCTCCTTCTGTACCATATCACAGAAATCTGCATAAACTGTTACTCAACCCATAATGCTCATTATAGATGCAAAGCACACATAGGCCTAAAAGATTACTGCAATTAAACAACAAAGGTAAGACAGTTGCTTAAATTATCCAGCAATAGCAATACTTGTCATAATAATGTCTGCTTAAGGTAGGCTAATCATTTAGACTAAAGAGCAAACATTACAATTCCAACACGACTGCACCCATGACAATTACGATGTGAAATAGACAACCATCCAACATCCACCAATATGAAAATGATAGCACAAGACATCTGTATAATCTCTTAGAACTCACTAGTTCATCCACAACCATGAATCAAGGGACCAGTGTCACTTTTTCCAAAGCAATTAAGTGGTTTTTGAAAGTTTTGGCATGCAAGCACATAATTTAACAATGATAAAAGTATATAAATTATTCTGCAAACAATTAAGTGTACGCAAACGCGATGCAAACACGTTTGAGTCGGTATATTTTACCCGGTTGAGAAGCTTGTCCTGTAGGCGCACGCCCTCCTGCAGCGCCTATCAGTGGAACATAGATGTACTGCAGTCAAAAACTGAAAAACGGAACACTTAATTTAGCATGTAAAAAGTAAGGCCAGTAGCTTACTAAAAGGCACTCATAAAAGTAATATTTATTTACTTTTAATTTTTATTCAATACCTGTTTATTTAATTAATGAAACCATAACATGCAACCAGGGGTGCCGTAACGGGGGGAAGGTTAGGACGATTCCAAGGGCCCGATGAGGGAGAGGGGGCCCAAACACGATTTATACCAAGGGGACGTGGGGGCCCGAGTCAACATGCTGTTCAGGGGGCCCAGAAGCCACAGCAGCGCCTCTGCATGCAATGTCAAAAGATTTATATAATATATACGTTGATTTAATATGTAATTCTTTTAAATACTGCAGGTTTCTTTTTTTTAATTCTTGCAGATTTATGTAGTTTATGGGAATCCCTGAAGACTATATATATATATATATATATATACACACCAATCAGGCATAACATTATGCCTACTGACAGGTGAAGTGAATAACACTGATTATCTCTTCAGAGGAGGCAGTGTGATGCTTTGGGCAATGTTCTGCTGGGAAACTTTGGGTCCTGCTATCCATGTGGATGTTACTTTGACACGTACCACCTACCTAAGCATTGTTGCAGACCATGTACACGCTTTCATGGAAACGGTATTCTCTGGTGGCTGTGGCCTCTGCACACCGTGACCTTTTGCTACAAAGCAAAAATCCACAAAGCAAAAATGGTTTATGGAGTTTGAGGTGTTGTCTTGAGCTCCAAATTCCCCAGATCTCAATCTGATCAAGCATCTGTGGGATGTGCTGAACAAACAAGTCCGATCCATGGAGGCCCCACCTCGCAACTTGCAGGACTTAAAGGATCTGCTGCTAACATCTTGGTGCCAGATACCACACACAGCACACCTTCAGGGGTCTAGTGGAGTCCATGCCCCGACGGGTCAGGGCTGTTTTGACAGCAAAAGGGGGACCAACACAATATTAGGAAGGTGGTCATAATGTTATGCTTGATCGGTGTGTATATATATATATATATATATATATATATAAAGACTTTTGTCAGTTTTGTTGAAGGTAATTAAATCAATGGTTTTCCAGTAACTGCTGAATAAATCAAAGATAGAATTTGGGATAGATTCCCTCCTGTCAAAAGATGCTAAAATAGCAGAATAATAAAGCACTTCCAAAAAATACTTATGAAATGCCACAAAGGTTTCAATAAACACAAATTTGGTGCACCAAGTGTACCTAAATACTGCTATATCAGTGCTGAACAAAAAAATTTTTATCTTGCATCTGGTGACAAATTTTCACTTTATCAATAGAACTCTGAAATAAAGAAAATATTATGGGGGCAACTGCTTCCTGGAATAAAGTGGATAAAGCTGGTCAGTTGTGATTGTTATAGCAACCTGAGTAAACAACAAAACATTGTTCAGACCCCTGAGTTTAAATCCGTCCCTTGGGTCATTTTGACCCAAAAAAGATTTTCAAAAAAATTCTAAAAGTCGTGTGTTGATCGTACCGGTCCAAGATTTCTTTACTTTTGTCACACTTGCACCGGGAATACACACAAATTTTTTTTTGAGTGGATTCGAGGAGTTTAAATGGGTGCAATAAAAAAAGTAACAAAAGTGTCCCTCGCGGGTCATTTTGACCCGCATAGGAATGAATGGAATTTACGAGAAAACTGCATTTTTCATTACATTTGATTTTTTTTTATATACAAAATCTGAGACAATCCAGTAAAGATTTATACCCAAACGAAGGGCTGAGACTACAGAATATCCCCAATGCAGAAAAAACTCACATACACACACACACACGCACACACACGTGCACAAACACACACATGGTACACATACTCTCATAGAACACATTGCAACATTTTTCATGTTTCTGCTGGGATATGACTGTCATTTTTCCATTTATTTTTTTACTTAACACAGTTAGATTTGAGTGATGTGGTGGAGACCGAGTTTATATCATATTTATATTTTTAAAAATATATGATATATTTATTTCATATTTATGAAATTGTATGAATATACATATGTTTAGGTTATAATTCAGTTCGAATTTTTTTTTGTTTTTTTTTACAAAATATGGATTTTGTAAGGTTTTAAAATATAAAAAGATATATTTTAATCCAGGAGTCTCCAACCTTTTTGTGAGTGAGGGCTCCCTGAAGGGATAAAATGGTCTCAAGGGCTACTTGTTTGATATACTCCAATACATACATACATACATACATACATATATATATATATACCGTTTTGCCTCGAATATAAGACGACCCTGATTATAAGACGACCCCCCTTTTTCCAGATGTACCTTTTGGAAAAAGGCTTTTTAAAATCTTGATATCTTGCATTTTATGCAAAAATGCATTTTATTTTTCCCTAAATTCTGTGTTTTCCATTTGATTTCTTATGGATTCCGTGTTTTATGATTCAGTACAAATTTATCATAAAAAATGGTGTCTAGTGAAATGAATTAATAAAACTTTAACAATTTAATCAATCTTTTAAAATGTAATCAAATGAAAATCAATTTACAACAAAACATTGCTTTTTTTTTTTTATCAGACATGATGCTGCACAACAGAATTGTATAAATTAATAATAATAAAAAATAACTTGGTTGTCATATAATTTCACGTTAACCCGGACCTTTATTTTGACGGTTTGTCGTGAAGGACTTTTTAGTTTCAGCTTGTATTTGACTGTATTTTTTCTCAAATGAAACTGCATAACGTTGGTGAAGTGACTCTCAGCAGCTCTGAAGATGAAGTGGATGTGTTCATGTCCTCATATATTGAGATGCAGACGCTGAAAACACCGCGAGTCACGTGTGTTTGAGATTGTGTATCAGATGAAACTACTCCACGCATTCAGAGACACACAGAACATGCAGACTTATATATTTCTGTTGTGTGATAGGATGTTAGATTAATCCATTTTGAGTAAAAATGTGCAGAGTTTATCATCATTATTAACATAAATTTGATCATAATCTCGATATGATATCATTTATTGCCCGACGTTAATTTAGGCTATTTATAGAACGTGCTTTGCGGGCGACTCAGAGACAACATGCTGGCGACCAGCGTTGGTGACCACTGTTTTAATTCATAAACAACCAAATTGAAGCCTTAAAATGATCTAATTTCTCATGTTACACTTGTTTTGCTCAGTTAAAAATCTCTATAGGGTTCTATAAGGCCCCTCTAGTGGCTGTAACCATAAAATGCAATTTTATGTAATTTTTCCCCACCAGATGGCATCAGAGACACTCAGTGACTCCATTCCAAGGCCATCTGTTGGTTTTTAATGAAACAGGACTGAAATGGTCTTTCTTTGTTTTTTTGGTGAAATAATGTACAAAAACTGCTTATTTGCTTATATTTTCTTAAAAATATCCAGAATAAAATGTAAATATGATAAAAATCACCAAAAAATAACAGAAAAACCTACATAAAAAATTAGAAAAAAAAATATAAAAATGTTCCAATATAAGCTTTCTTGACCAAAAATAAATGTAGTGTCATTTTTGGCCTTTGGGTCATTTTGACCCGCGAGGGACACTTTTGTTATAGGTTCGGGAGGGACGGATGAGGGTTAAACACACATTTTCCTAATGCTTTGACAAGGAGAGTTCACATACCACGACCAGCGCCGGGGTATCCTCCTGCGCCGTAACCTGGCAACAAGACAAGAGAGCTGTCAAGGTTACAGAAAGAAGAAATGCCTGTTTAGTGGAAGCCTCTCATTGTAGACACATAAACTCCCACTCCCACACAACTTCATCAAAAATATGACACCTAATCCTGGCAAATGGACAGCATACATCACTGTGTGAAAGATTTTAATCACAGCACAAGGTCAAATTTTGATCGGTTAGATCAGATCCAATCTGCTACACAACCTTCGGGTCGGACAGAGATGGCATTAAACTGGAATGTGTCATATAATGTTTATTGATTCGGTCATTATGGTGCACACACTCACCTAGCTGTGCTCCATAGCCATTACTGGTGTAACCTAGAAAATGTCAAAATCAAACAGTGAATAAGTGTTGCAAGAGTACTTATGAATGCAAAGCAAATGAACAGCTCTCACCTCTTCCTCCAAGCTTCCCTGCTGGATAACCCAAGGCTGCTCCCAGCCCGTTGCCTAGGCCATACCCTGTGCCGAGTCCCAGTCCGGCAGCTCCAAGGCCAGTTCCAAGGTTTGCAGCTAAGACCAAAATAGTAGGATCATGGTGATGAATGCAAGAATAATAAATCCATCAGATGTAAAACCTGATATCTGTCCATTATAGTTATTTAGGAATGACAGTTTTACCTCCTCCATAACCGAGTGTTCCATATCCTTGTTTCAGGCCTCCTCTGATTGCAGTGGGTCTGTATGCTGCCCCTAACAGACACCATACTCATTACACATACTGTACTACAGACACATTAAGCCCATATTCACATAATAGCACAGACTACTGCACACACATGCAAACAGCTGCTTATGTATTTACACTATTGTTCAAAAGTTTGGAGTCAGTATAATTAATATATATATATATATATATATATATATATAATTTTATACTTTTTTCATCAAGTACACATTAAATTGACCAAAAGTGACTGAAAATACATTTATAATGTTACAAAAAATTTCAAATAAATGCATTCAACTTTCTATTCATCAAAAAACGTATCACTGTTTCCACAAAAATGTTAAACAGCACAAGTGTTTTCAACATAAGAAATTTTCTTGAGCAGCAAATCCGCATATTAGAATGATTTCTGAAGGATCATGTGACACTGACTACTGGAGTTATGGCTGCTGACAAATCAACTTTGCCATCAAAGAAATAAGCGACATTTAAAGTATATTAAAGTAGAGAAAAGTTATTTTAAATTGTAATAATATTTCACAAAAATAACTCTATTTGATCAAATAAATGCAGTATTGATGCGCATAAGAGACTTCTTTCAAAAACATGAAAACATCTTACAAACCCCAAACTTTTGAACGGCAATGTATGCGAAATAAAAAGCAGAATAAATTTACCTCCAAGATAATGGCCAGCTGTTTGTGAGAGAGAGAAGAAAAAAAAAACATTAGATGGTTAAACTAACATTCACTTTTTGTATGTAAATAAACAAATACCCTAGTACATTGTCTCGTTGACTCCCTTTTTCAAAGGCAATTCTGTGTATTTTGGCATGTGTTGCGTCAAAGGTTAATTATAAATCTTTATTTATTGTTTGTACTTATTTTCATCTCAGCTTCATCTGAGGTTAATGTCACTTACCACCTGTCTTTCCTGGCTTGCCTGCCCCATAGCCACGGGCTCCAAGAATACCAGCCGCTGGACAAGGAGCAGTACAGAAATGAAAGAAAGATAAGATAACCTTTGTACTGATATAAGCAAATGGATTGGATTAATTGGATTCAGTAGCATCCACCAGGTTCAGGCAGACAGACTTACCTCCAGACTTTGCACTGATACCAGGACCTACAGAGAAACGAAAGAAGGCAGGATTGATGAAGAAATTCATTATGTGATGTAATTTTCTGACCTCTAACCCTCTGTATTATCCCACAGATACACCATAAATACAGAGATGAAAAAGCGCAAAATACCTCGACTCGCCAATCTTCCCAGGGCTCCAGTCTGTGGCCTAACTCCTTTAAAACAAGTGAGAAAAACTGTATCAATGCATTTGGCCTAAAAGAAAGAACTAAAGAAAGAATACTATATTTTGAATACCATTCAAAAATAAGAATACCATATTTTTGGACATTTACCATGGTAATACCATGTTTTCTGACAAACCTTCTACGCAAATAATTATTATGGCCAATTTAATATTATCTGATAACATTACTATACTACCACAATATGTTTTTAAGGGCAGGGCTCATAAATGTCGTAAAAAATACTTCAGCGTAGAGTGGTCAAATTGATTTAGGCACTTCTGGATTAGTGAGATTAGCGCGACTCCTGATTGAATTTTTCGAAATCAACCTATAAAAGCTTCCATGGTTGAGAAACTATGCCAGTTAACAGGCCTCCATTGATGCTCAGAAACTGTAGGACAAAATGGGCTGTGTATCGGTCATATAAAGTCAGGACTGACAGAAGGCCGACAAATTTTGACCACCGCCGTCACCTTCAGGCACAGAGTTTTGATCTTCAAACATGAAATACAAGTGTTTAAGTTGCGGTCAGAGTTATGGAGGCTGGAGCGAATCCAGGCAAACCCAGACACGTCGAGCCATGACTCACTTCCAGAGGTATTTTTTCTCCATTTATCAGAGCTGTCAGACATTTAACATCGAGTCGTTATGTGCATTTTATTACGTAATTTTCTAGACACCTTTTAGTCTCCCGTACAAACATCCGTGACTGCTTGCTGAACATTTGATGATGCAATAACGCCTCGAGATGACTGAAAAGACTAATAAGAGTGGCACATACTACATAATGAATTAAAAAAAATATATATATAATTTTTGTCTGTCAAGTATCGATAGGTGACATTTGATTGTCTATACAAGGTGCAGACAAGTAGAAAAAAATGCTTGCATCAGATATAGACAGCAAGTCAATCTGCATCTTAGATCTGTCATGCCACACATACTGTTCCTTCCTCACTGGCACCAGATAAAGAAAAGCACACCACTTCAGTGATTGCTTCACCTCAATGTAGCGTTTTCATGTCATAGTCACCACAGGACTGGCAATATTAAATGGGCAAAAGAATTAACACTTATAAACCTAAAAATTTGTATTTCTGTTTAATCTATAGTGCATTAGTATCTGCAAACATTTAAATGAAACACATGATTAAAAACAGTACAAATGTAAATAAACCTGAATTTTTTTAAAGTTTTAGATTATAACCTCGTGTATTAAAGGTTAAAAAAATACAAACATATGTTTTAGCAACACGATAAATCACAATAAAATTCCATAAAATAGGGGCTAGATGTGTTTAATAACTTCAGAGATCCAACTCATATTTTGCTTCAAATGGTATGCAAACTGATTTCAGGTACCCTGCAGTGTGACATATTACATGAAATCATGAGGGTGAGACATGTAGCCTGTAAAAAAGATGTAAAAGTCTAAGCAGATAAAAGTATTTCCCCTTCTGAATTTCTATTTTATTGAATTCTCAAAAGAACAAGAACTGAGAACTAATGTATTCTATTTATTTATGCAATACATATTTCAACCGGATTCCCAAACATTTTGTCATCCAAACCTCTTTGACATAAAATATTTACTTAAAGTACGCCGTGAGATTCTCTTATGCTGGTTGCCGTTAACATGACATGCAGGTAAACAAATAAAATATTACATCTTTTTAAATAAATGTTTTACTTTGTTTTTACGTTTACATTATTTATTAATTTTAATGATTGAATTAATTATTAGCTTTTTACCAACTCACACCCCCCCTGCATATACTACATAAACAAAGAAAAATATTTGTAAAACATTTTTCTAAGTGGTTGAAGGAGATTTAGTTATTCCTTATTTGATGTGATTTTTATTTTGATCTTTTCATGCATGCATTTAAATGTAATTACTAAACTGCAATCCGTCCATATTATTAGACATTCAAAGTGGTATTCAGATAGCAAAAGCATTGGATGATTGGTCTCTCCACCTAATGATGCACATATTCACTGTACCTATTGCTCTGCTTTAGCAAGAGCATAATGAAGGGCTTGAGTACATGGGTCAGCCCTACCTGGGATTAACCTCACAACCTTAGTGCCACCAGTGCCATTTTTTTGTAATCATAATTAGTCCCTTTTTAGATTAAAATTGTTTCGTTTTCAGTCATAATTACAATGATTTGATCCCATGTGTGCACAGATATCATAACAAGCCACTGCCCCTCTTTCTTCCCTCTCCCGCATCAGAAATTCTCCTCATTTCTCTTTCTCACCCTCAAATCTCTACAACAAACACTTCAGAAGACACATCTAACTTACCTCCCTGTATGGTGTTCTGTACCAGCCACAGGACCAGTGAGGTCTGCAGGATCGCCTGAACCAGCATGATGGCAGACAAACAGACAGACAGATAGACTTGGTATTAGCAAATAGCTAGAAATGCACACAGGTGAGAGTCAAGCACACTCAGTGGAAAGCAGCACCACTGGCCAATCTACCCACCAGGCCTTTATTTATTCTCTGGACACCCATGTCTTTCCTCTGACCAGCCCTGCCCTCTGCTGTTCTATTGGGCACCCCCTAAAAAAATCATCTGCCCTTTCTCTCACTCCTCGTCCCACTCTTTTCTCATGCTCTGCTAAGCCTGAAGAAGACAACCAGCTTCATCCAGATTTTTGTAGTAATATGCCCCTATAGATATACATATTTGTTCATGGTGTCCTGGTAACTGAAAGCCATCTTGGGTCTCCTTTATCGATTATAAAGAAAATTACCTCAAAGGACTTCAGTATTATGGTAATAGTGTTTTTAGGCTTATTGTTTTGTATGTTATTCGCTCTTAAAAATAAAAGTTTCAAAAAGGAAGTTTTCTCAGCGATTCCACAGAGTAAATATTTTAGGTTCCCCAAAGAACCTTCAGAAAATAACC